ATATCTTTGAGGATTATTTTGAATAGTTTTGAATTTTCTTTTTCTTCTAATTTTTTTTCCTCATAAAAGAAAAGGTTAATGAAAGTCAAAGAGTTTATCTGAACTATGATGAACATGTTAGGAAGAACTTGATGGTAAGAGATGTTCAAAAATGGAATGGACTATTTTGAACGATAATGGTTGCTCCATCCAAATGAGATTAGATGAACACCTGACTGGGAAGCTTTAGCTGTAAAATCCTACACTGATAAGGGACTGGATTATTGGACTATATATCTTGGGGTTATTTTCAGCTCTACAGGCCAATGAAAAACAGCTTATCCAGGATTCTTGAAACTTCTCTGCAACCTGTAGTTAGATGAGATGTTGGATTAAATCAAGGATGAAGACTCATGTCATGCGAGACCATGGTCTCCAAATGAACATGGATCCAGAAATCTCAGAGTAGACAACATTTCCATAACATACACTGCCTTCTTGGGAGATATCCAGAGGAAAGAATAGATCCCTGATGTCTCAAATCTAAGGAACACAGTGAACTGGCCATGAATTAGGTAAACACAGACTCAGAGAGGTTGAACCTCAGAGTTACAACAAACAAACTTTCATCTCTCAAGACATTCTCTCCAGAATTCCTCATTTACCTTCAGAAATATTCTTCTGCATCAGGTCTTTTGTGTCTTAGCTTTGTCTAAACCCATCAGGGAGAACTGAAGATCAAACAGAAAAGTGATGGGTTTGATTTTGCATGAAGTCACTGTTTGTGGATTTGGGAGATGTCATAAAGCCCCCAGGAGTGAAACCTTGGGACTCTTGAGGTGTCACCAAATTTTTGTTATAAAATAAAAGTGACAGCAGTCACATATAAGCCTATCTAGAGAGAGTTGAAAGTTTCACTTTGAAGTTGAAGCAAATCTATGGGGGATGGGGAGGGGGAATGCTAGAGAGGAACTCAAAGAGAAATTCAAGGAAGAAATGAAAGTATTGTTCATTTGGTTCACTTGTAACATGAGGATAAGGCCAAATTTCATGAGACATCAGGAAGGAAGGAAAAACACCTGTTTCGAGGTAAGCAAGAACTGAACATCTTCGCTGCTCTGTCCAAAAGGACAGCATTTCTAATTTTTGGCTGGTCTAAGAGCAAAGTGATCCAGTCAGTTGATGATACAATACAACTCTGGCTCTGTTTGACTCCGTTCCTCTTCAATATTTAGATGTTCTTAACACTGAAGGTATGTCAGAAGGAAAGCTAGAATGGACCAAGCAATGAGCCCTTCAAGATTATTTTATTCAAACGACAGCTCTTATTTTAATCTGCTTTGCATGATTGCAATAGTGTCTAATAAGTGATGATGGTGGTAAGTAGTGATGATGGTTTGGATTCTATCCGTTAGTCCCATTTAGATTCTTATATTAGTTCCTGAATAGTGAGTCAGTAGGGTGCATCTACATTGTAAATTTAATGCAGTTTGATACCACTTTGACTGCCATAGATCCATGTGATGGAATTCTGGAAATGGAAACCACCCTGAGTCCCTATGGGGAGATAGGGTAGGATATAATTAAAGTTGTTGCTGTTGTTAGTTAGTTAGTTAGTTAGTTAGTTAGTTAGTTACCAGCCCCCTTTGGCCAAGAAGGGTAAAGGCCTTGCTAGACTACAACTTCCAGGATTCAATACCACTGAGCCATGGCAGTTAGTGGTATCAAACCATATTCATTGTACAATGTAGATACACTAAAAGTAAGTTAATCACACTTAAATCAAGAAATAGTTTTCTTAGATCTACAGAGACACTCGCTGGAACACCTCAGCAAGCAAGAGTTCAAAAGTGGCAGGCTCAAACCCAGAACCTCAATCCATGGGTGATACCAGATGAGAGACTCCTCCCTGGGCACACAGAAGATTGGGTGACATGGAAGGCGCTGAACAGACTGCGCTCTGGCACCATGAGATGCAGAGCCAATCTTAAGAAATGGGGCTACAAAGTTGAATCCACGACATGCGAGTGTGGAGAAGAGCAAACCACTGACCACCTGCTGCAATGCAACCTGAGCCCTGCCACATGCATAATGGAGGACCTTCTTGCGGCAACACCAGAGGCACTCCAAGTGGCCAGATCCTGGTCAAAGGACATTTAATCAGCTACCAAGTTTGCAAAATTTGTGTTGTCTTTTTTATCTGTTTGTTTGTTTTGTTCTGTTAGAAATGTAATAGAATGTTCTGGTTGTGGATGACACGATAAATAAATAAATAACTGATTCAGTTCAGACAATGAAGCAGCAGCTGATCTTCACTGGTAGTGCTGAAGACTCTAGGGCAGTGCTTCTCAACCTGGGGTCCCCAGATGTTTTTGGCCTTCAACTCCCAGAAATCCTAACAGCTGGTAAACTGGCTGGGATTTCTGGGAGTTGTAAGCCAAAAACATCCGGGGACCCCAGGTTGAGAAGCACTGCTCTAGGGTGAACTCACAGAGTAGTGCAACCTTCTTCTCCTGCCCCTAGGAGCACAGATCAGACACAACTTCATTGACTGAGTTGCTTTCCCCTTACGTTGCTCCCTACCAACAATAGAAGCAGGGCTTCATAGCTGCTGGGGTTATAGTAGAGTTTAGATAGAGTGCAAAGGGCTATGGAATGCCCATCCATAAAGAAAATACATGTGCGTAAGTTACACAGAGATACAAACATTTCCCAGCACCCTTAGTCAAGGAAGAAATTGGCTTTTGCTAATTCCTTCCTGTGAAATATAGCCTTCAGCACCCAACAAAATTTCCTATCCAAGTACTAGCCAGGGTTGACCCTGCTTAGCTTCCAATACAGGTGCTTCCTGGTGCTTTTAGGCATACAGATAATATTTTTAGAGCAAATAATCCCACTGTGGTGAAGAGGGGACTGTTGCTGCTCACACTGATTCTCTAAAAGAGGAATTTGTAGCAATTATTGCATGTGGTTCCTTTCTACACTTCTATTTACCATTTTAAAAGAGACCTTGTTTCAACGGTATCCTTAAAATATCAATGCCTAACCAATTGGACAACAAAATAGGCTAGGAAATGTCCCCATTTTCGTTGTTAAGAAAGCAGCTTTATTGGTGATATGACAGAAGTCTCTTGCTTTTGTTCTGTTTGGGTGGGGGCAGGGCGGGGAGAACCTCACAAAACGAAACTCCAAAACAAACACAGACGTATAAAATAACCATCTTATGCAGAGCTTGATGTGATTCAGAAGAAAGCAGTAAAGCACTGCAATTCTACAGGATTTCGTAATTGAATCCTCCAAGGATAATGACGTTGACCTTCCCATTTGGAAATAAACTAGGCATTCAGCTTATAAGTGCCATTCACATTAATTCTAATTGCCCATACATGGCTCCACAGCACAACAACTGCTGGGAGGACAAGGAACAGGTAAATAATGATTATCATTAGCTTGTTTTACAAACATCAACAAAGCACAATAACTGTTTCTTTACCATCCAACATCCAGCTTCCGGATGCCGTTGCTCCAATATTTGCATTTCCATCCAGAGCCCATGGTTCAAAACATATTATAAGGATGGACATCACTAATGCAAAGGTCTTCTAGCTCAGAATGGTGCCTTTCAATTACACTCAGCTTCTAAAAATAGGGAGTAAGAAGGAGGCATAGCATGTGTCCAGTTCTGGGCACCACAGTTCAAGAAGAACGTGTCCTGAGAAGGGCATCCAAAAGGATCAAAGATGTGGAAGCCAAGCTCTATGAATTTGCCGTCGCGCCTGGGGGCTATTTTTCTTAATGAAGGAGGCATGGACATGGCATCTTTCCCCCAGGGGATTGCTTCTTGCCCTCCTATAGGAAACTGGAACTCTCAAAATCCCAAAATGCTGTAAATAACTCAAAATACGTTTTATTGATCACAAAGAGTCATTTCTTTAAAGCAATAACCTGGAAACTTCAGAGGGGTGAAGGAAAATATAAGTTACAGTCTCAATTAGCCCTGGGTCCAAGGGGTTTGAAGCTGAGAAGCCTCACCAAGTTTCCTCTTTACTCAGTGGCTATGAATGCCGGAGCAAACCACAACCCCAGTTCAGATGGCCTATGTTTTGAAGACTCAGGATCTTCCTTTGGTGCTAAAAGAATCAGTTTGAAGGCTCTTGAGACTTCCAATGTCGTTCAGGTTGGTCTGAACATGAAGCACAAGTCTCAAGGGTAAAAAAACTCGGAACTGATGCTAAGAGGTAATTTAAATCCGGGTCTTTTAGAGTCAAGTCTCTTACTCATGTCCATAAGGTAAGAACTCTGATGGCAGAATGAAAAGAAAGGAAGCACTCCCCTCCTGCAGGAAGAGGTGGAGCCAAACAGTACTGATTGACAGCTATAAGTAACCAATCCATGCAATTATACATAAGCAGGGTAAAAAGGGGCAGGATTAAGCATGATACAACAGTTTAAATCTTGCAATGAACAGTTCTATACATAGGTGGCGCCACTCGCGCCGTCACAATGAAGAGCATTTTAGGGAGTTGGGTATGTTTAGCTTGGAGAAGAGAAGGTTGAGAGGGTAAATGAAAGCCATGTTTCAGTATCTGAAAGGATTCCACACTGAGGAGTGGGGAAGCTTATTTTCTGTTGCTCTAAAGACTAGAGCACAGAGCAGTGGATTCAAAATGCAGGAAAAAAGTATTCCACCTAAACATTAGGAAGACAGCAAATCCCAGTATTTCTTTGGATGGAAACAAGTCAGCTGAAGTGGGAATATAATGCTACAATTATAGAGTGCAAAAGGGTTACTGGTAACTGTATTTGGTTAGAAATGGTAGCCTCCCATTTCATACGGCAAATGGATCCTAAGTAGCAATCTCCATAACATTTCACTCTGAAATATTAAAAACCCCCAAAACCATTGCACTCTGAAATGAAACCCCTGTAGTTCCACGTTATTCAGATATGCATTTAAATCCAAGGCTCCTCATAGTAAAGAAATGTCTAATGCAATACAGATTCAAGAAAGAATTGGATACCTGACTCCATTACAGTGGACTCGGGAACAGAAGTGACCTTCAATTCCACAGATCTGTTCTTGGTATCATTTGATTTTCCTTTTTCAAAGACAGGATGGGACACCACTCTGAAAAATAAAACCAAGAATCATGTCATACTGTATGCATTTGGACACCAGATATAAGCAATTACAGTTTTAATTATCCTCCCCAACCCTTAAACAAATGAATAATTTCAGCATTTCAATTCTGACTCCGCAGTAATATTGGGTTTTGCGTTCAGGTTTTTAGCACTATTGATACACTCCCCTTTATCAAGGGAAATGTTGTATGTGTTTATTTTCTGCAAATAAAAAACAACAACAAACCACCACTGTATTTTTGCACAGAAAACACTTGCATGAAAACTATGTGTGTGTTTTTAAATGCAAGAATCTGTGTTTGTGGAAATTACAGACATTTCATTCCATTTGCACAAGAGCTACACATACTGTATATGGATTTCTTCAGAGAAAATACTAGAAATTTTTCTTCATGAAAACACATTTTCTCCCATAAAACAATTGGCCAAAATCCTACATCACAGTCTACATGCAGTCTATGTTGCAGATTTGCTAATGAATTGCACCAGCATTTGGGCATCAGCGAAAGTGTACCAATGCACATTGGCACTTCTGATGTGTGCTAGGCACTACTGATGCACATTGGCCATTTTTGATACACATCAGGAACTTCTGCTGCAAATTAGGCACCTGTGATGTACATTAGATGATTATGATGTGCACTAGGTACTTCCAATGTTCATTGGATATTTCTAATGCACATTAGTCATTTCTGATGCACATTGGGCATTTCCAATGCACAAGAGATACTTTGTTGTTCATTAGACACTTCTGTTGCACACTTCATATTTCCTTGTAATACACTTTAGGAATTTCTCTAATGCACATCAAGTATTTCTCGATACTTCTGACATATGTCAGATAGCTTTGGTGTGCACTGGGCAATTCTGATGTACACTGGGTACTTCTGATGTATATCAGGAATCTATGATGCACAATTATATATAATGAGCATTTCAGATGCACACTCTGCACTTCTGATGTGAACTGGACACTTCTGTTGCACACTGGGTACTTGTGCACATTAGATAAGTCTGATGCACACAATGTTTTCAATTGGTGTTGGAGATTTCTGATGGACATTAGGCTCTTACGATTTACTTCTAATGCGGGCATTTCTACTTTACACATTTCTAATGCAAATTGAGATGATGCATGCTGGATAAATCTAAATATGTGAGAGGAAGCCACAGGGAGGAGGGAACAAGCTTGTTTTCTGCTTCCCTGGAGACTAGGACGCGGAACAATGGCTTCAAACTACAAGAGAGGAGGTTCCATCTGAACATGAGGAAGAACTTCCTGACTGTGAGAGCCGTTCAGCAGTGGAACTCTCTGCCCCAGAGTGTGGTGGAGGCTCCTTCTTTGGAAGCTTTTAAACAGAGGCTGGATGGCCATCTGTCGGGGGTTATTTGAATGCGATGTTCCTGCTTCTTGGCAGGGGGTTGGACTGGATGGCCCATGAGGTCTCTTCCAACTCTTAGATTCTATGATTCTATTCTATGTATGGCAGACAGCACTGATGTGCACTGGGCATTTCTGATGTGCACTGGGTACCTCTGATGCACAACAAACATGTCTGATGTATATTGGGTACTTCTACCATTGGGCAGTTCTGATGTGTATTGGGTACTTCTATTGTGCTCTGGTGCTTCCTAGCCAGTCTCTGGGCCCACAACTGGTGTGTAGTGGACATTCCAATATCAGTCGCTTCACTAGCTACCATCACACAATGGATACCCTAACATTGTAATGGCTTTACAGCCCCTAGGTCTACATAGAAAATGACAAACTGTTCAATTTTTATAGAGAAAAGGGCATCGATAAACACATCGATAAACACATTGATAAACACATATTTTCCTAGCAGAAGGCAGCGGATGTTATATTTATTCATTTGTTTGAATGCACGAAGAGGAAATAACTTTTTGGTGTAAATAAATTTATCCCAACAAAGGCTAGAAATGCAAAGGATGTTTGGGTTGCTCTCCTTTTCCATTTGGGACATGGTTTTTGGATAAAAAAGATTATCAAGTACTCTTCACACCCCTAACCAAAAGTGACAACCATTTCTCTTGGTGACCTTTTTCCCACAGAGGTTAAAACACATTCAAAATCAACACATTAATTGGTTGGAAGGAAGAGATGTACTAAGGACTCCTTTCCTGGAGAAGAAACACACAACCAAATCGCCTGAAGGTCACTTCATGTATCATTTCATTCGTTTTCTGCATGAAACCAAATCTGTACACAGAAAGCAAAAGTGTCACTATCTCAGCCATTCACGTGGACAGTTTAGGAGTATTTTGGATTTTAGAATTCTGGATAAGGGGTGCTCAACCTGTACTAGTCAAAAGTGAGATATCATTATCATCCTCATTTTCTGAACTGAGAAATGCAGAGATCAGCATAAGCTGAGAGCTGTTGGCCCAAGCAGGAGGATTTGACCTTGTTCTAAAAAAGCAGGAGAGACTCATCAGCAGCTGATGGAGAATTAAATGTGAGGCTCCAGCTGTCTGGAGGAACATCCATGCCTTCGAGGAGAAAGCCGTAGATTCTACAACCTAGGAGTGCCTCGGCATTAAGCTTGCCCTAGGATGAGAGACAGTGTCCCTGTCTTCCTGAATCAATTCAAACTCCCTTCTTTATTTTCTCGAGGAATTCTTTTTTATTTAGAAAACAGCAGTTTCCTTGCTCAGATATAATGGGAGTGAGAGGTCTGCTTGTTATCCTTAATAAGGATGAAGTAAGGACACTAGGGCAGGATGGAAGGACGCCACCGAGGTCAAAGGTTTAGCTCAAAAAAAGGCTTTCCTGGGATGAATGATAAAACAGAATGGCAAATGTGTACAACAGGGTCACAAAGATTACCTCTGGCCACAGTGACATCGCAAAGGACATGTCTGTCATTAGTTGCCATCAAGCCAACTTGGACTTATGGTGACCCTATGAATGAGAAAGGTCCAATAGCTCTGGTTATCAGCTGCCTAGTTCAGGACTTACAAACTCAGAGTCATGGCTTCCTTGGTTTAATCAGTCCACTTATATTACAGTCTTCCTCCTTTTCTACTGCCGTTGGATCTGTGGCTCATCCACACTACATAATTCTAGTGGTATAGTGTCTAAAGCAAGGGAAGTCATGCTACCCCTCTATTCTGCCTTGGTTAGACCACACCTGGAATACTGTGTCCAATTCTGGGCACCGCAACTGAAGGGAGATGTTGACAAGCTAGAATGTGTCCAGAGGAGAGCGACTCAAATGATTAAGGGTCTGGAGAACAAGCCCTATGAGGAGTGGCTTAAAGAACTGGGTATGTTTGCTTGAAGAAGAGAAAGCTGAGAGGAGACATGATAGCCATGTATAAATATGTGAGGGGAAATCATAGGGAGGAGGGAGCAAGCTTGTTTTCTGCTGCCCTGGAGACTAGGACATGTAGCAATGGTTTCAAACTACAAGAAAGGAGATTGTACCTGAACATGAAGAACTTCCTGACTGTGAGAGCCGTTCAGCAGTGGAACTCTCTGCCCCGGAGTGTGGCGGGGCTCCTTTTTTGGAGGCTTTTAAACAGAGGCTGGATGTCCATCTGTCAGGGGTGCTTTGAATGCGATTTTCCTGCTTCCTGGCAGGGGGTTTGACTGGTTGGCCAATGAGGTCTTTTCCAACTCAATGATTCTATGATTCTACAAATCCACCTTAAATTCCATGCTTATGCCTTATGGATTCCTGGGACGGGTAGTTTAGGGAAGGCCATTTCAGATACTCAGCCACAGGACTCAATTTGTTTTACCAAACTACAAACCCCAGGATTCCATAGAGTAGAACCATGGCAGCTAAAGTGGATTTGTAGCACTAGACTTATATAGTACAGATTTTTTTTTGTCGTGGTATGAGAGAATTGGCCGTCTGCAAGGACATTGCCCAGGGGACGCCCGGATGATTTTTTAAATGTTTTTTATCATCCTTGTGGGAGGTTTCCCTCATGTCCCTGCATGAGGAGCTGGAGCTGATAGAGGGCGCTCATCTGCCTCTCCCCAGATTCGAACCTGCGACCTGTCGGTCTTCAGTCCCGCTGGCACAGAGGTTTAACCCACTGCGCCACCGGGGGCTCCATATTACAGATGGGACCATGGAATCAAACTTCTAAAGAGCAAGATTGCATCTTGCTCTTTAGTTAAGATTTCTCTCTTACTTTCTACTCTAGAAAATATAGATCCATGCACCTACATTTTGCCTAAAGAGAGAGGCAAAATGTGTCCTCACTGGAAGGAAGAAAAGGCAGAAGACCGGAAAATGGCGAATGGCCACATGGCCAAGCCCAGGAAGTTCCCTCACAGAATTCTATTCCTGTATCATCAAAGGGGGCGAGGAGACAGTGGCTTGCTGGAGCAGTAAAGACAAAGCCCTTGTGGGAAACATGGATGGTAAAGTAGGGAAAGGAATCCCTCAGCTTTGCTCTCACACCAGAAGTGACTTGCAGTTTCTCAAGTCACTCCTGACATGAAAAAAAAAAATGATAACACCATGCTTCTGGGTGTATCTACACTGCAGAATGAATGTAGTTTGACACTACTTTATATGCCATGGCTCAATGCTATGGAATCCTGAGATTTGCAGTAAGGTAAACTACCAGCACTTTTTGGCAGAGAAGGCTAAAGAGCTTTTGAAACTGCACAGCCTAGAATTCCATTGCATTTGAGCCACGGAAGATAAAGTGATGCCAAACTGCATTAATTTTACAGTATATATGTTTCCCTAGAAGTGAATACTTTGAAGTCCTGCTAGAGTGTGGTACTCAGGAAGAGGTGGAGAAATTCAAACACATGATTATTTTAAAAACAGGGACAAATCCAGTACATTAGATTTTTTTTTTACCCAGCAGGCTACTTCTTTCCTCATACAATATAAGGCTTGATTCGCCTTTTAAAAGCATCACATAAAGGCAGTGCTTAAAAAAACACTTTTCCTTCCCGCCTTTCCTTGTCATGAACCGTGAAGTCCAGACCT